TCTCTCTCTCACGAACTCTCTCGTCCCCACCTATGTACAAAGGGAGAAAAAAAAAAAAAAAAAATATCAATTACAGCATCTCGACGAAAACCGTTTGCCGTTGCTAAGAAACACAACTAATCCTCTGTGTCTTTTGCCTCTCCCTACATGTGTGATCAGGAACACAAAGTTGCGATGCCGCAAAGCGAGGAGGGGCGAAGGGGGAGGAGCGACACGGAACACAGAGTAACAGGGCGCAGGTAAGACAAGGGGATCAAGGATGGCAGAGTCGCACAGTAGTAATTGTTCTGTTGCTGCGAAGGGGCCATACCAGCGCACCGAAACGGGTAATGACGACAGGGACAGAAAACTGTTGTTGCCAACGAGCAGCCGGAGGTCAGCACAGAGCTGGCAGGACATGTTATCAGATCCTTGGTGTGCGGAAATGTACGATTTACTGACTGAGGGTGCAGCGGAGTGGCCCCACTCCAGCGGGGGACAGCCTTCCTGTTGTGTGGGAAAATGGAAAGCAGGGGACATGACTACTGCGAGGGATGAGCAGACGGACATCACTGACGTGAACGAATTGTTCCCTTTTACATGGAAATCTGCGCAACACGCCATACCCGCATCAAAATCCGACATTGAACGGTTGTCGGATGACGGATGGCTGAACGACAATATTATTGACATTTATTTGCAGTCTGTGTATGAAGAGGTTGGGCGGGGCCAGGACAGGTCTTCTGTTCACGTCTGCACAACTTTCTGACATCCCAAGGTCGTCGCCAATGAAAGTTTTGGGCAGTTGAGGAAAAAAGGATGGGAGGACACAATTAAGATCAGACAACAGAAGTTGCATCGACTGTGGAACGAACTGCGACGCGCATCGGTCACTTTAATACCAGTGAACCGTAACAAACACTGGACTCTTCTTCTGTTGCTGAATGTGAGGTCTTTCTTGGAGGTCACTGCGGACAGCCGCATATCCGACCCTCCCATTGCTATCGTCGTTGACTCAATGAGAGGAAAAAAGCGAGAAGAATGGACGGCATTGCGAAAACTTTTGTGGCAGGAGTACCTTCACGAGGCTTCTAATTTGCAGTGTCTCACCCCCGAAAAGGTTCATTTTTCGTGGGTGACATGCAGGGATCTGGCAGGAAGTAAACTTGTGCATGCAGAATGCCCGCAACAGAACAATCAGATGGACTGTGGTATTTATGTGTGTTCCATCGCTACCACCCTAATACAATTTCTCGGAAGAACCGCGGCAAAGGATGTGAGGGCGAAGGACGTACTGGAAGTTATCAAAACTACAACGGTGAACGAAAGAACTGTTCGACAATTTCGCGAGTCGATGGTGGACCGTCTTGCTGCATGTGCTGCAGTCACAAAAGGCAACTGCACTTTAGCGGCTTCACAAGTAGCTAAAGCATTGCGAAGCATAATAAACAGAAGATAGAGCAACACTTATAGGAATGAGATGTTCTCCAGGTCACCGAACGCGATGCGAGGGAAGTTGACTACTGCGGGCCAAAATGACATGAAATGTGGGATGTGTCGACATGTTTGGCCCGCAATAGCCAACCTTATCGCTCTGATGGACGAGGCAACTATTCGGGGACGTCACTGTTGAGAATTTTTTTTTGTTCCCAGATTATGCGATCTCCTGCCACCTGACAATACAAATG